AACTTTATATTATTTAAAGCTCATTCACTTAATTTTCATTATTACTTTATTATCTGACATGAAATAATATAAATATGAAAGATTACTTATGGGATCATGTTACATTTATGAGTATAGATTATTACATTATTCTCAAATTAAAAAAAATAATTGTAATTTTTAAAAAAATTATTTTACTCTTATTTAAAGTATTGCATCATAATACTTTATTACAATAAAGCATAATAAATTTTTAACATGTAATAATTGTAATTAAGCCTAAAGATCAGAGCCAATGCGTGCGAAGTAACTTTGACTTATAAAAAATGAGTTTTTTTAAAGTTGCGATTTATGTTTATCCTACCTGATAACTAAACCGACACTGCTCGTATCAGATGTTTCTAATTCGTACAATAAATGTTCGTGCTCGGCATTAGAGTGGATTGAATTGTCAACAACAACAACAACATCATCCGCCATTTTAAACCGGCCACTGACGTCACCAAAGCAGACGCGATGTCATTAATGCACTTCGAACCATTTCCGTTTTCAAAAAAAGGAAGCGATTAAAATTGAAAAGGTTCTTTTATTAACTTTTATATAATATTTTGTTTGTCGTTTTGTTTATTGAATAATTNTCCGTTCTCGAGATTAAGTAAGTTAATAGCTTGAGAAACTCCAAAAAATGAAAAGAATATTGAATATGAGTGCGAAGAGATGGTAAGCGATTTAAAATCAGCGTTGGGAAGAGTTTTGTTTAAAATCTAAGTATATATCGTATACGTTATAATCCTGGATAGAGAAGGACTTGCATCTTTTCCCGCCTACATACTGTACTGTACATGCAATCAAATGGCTGAGTGATCAGAGACAAATCCATTATTAAGGGAGGCGGACAATGCGTAATTACTGAAAAAGCTAAATCGCGGTAAGAATTGTCATGTGTGGGGGAAAAATGGCTTGGGAAATATTATAATAATAAATTTCGTTGAGAAAATATGCTTCGACTGGATCTGGATTATAAAAGTTATTACATCTTATCCCGTGAGAAATCTTGTATATATAGTCGTCGATTGTTTTGGACCCGGCTGAATTTGTTGATCGAGAATATCACTGATGTACTGTACTCTAAAATCCATCGGGTCCGCCCGACCGATTATATCGATAGTTATTTAAAATAAGCGAATAGAAAGAGCTTCGGTGAAAAATTATCATTTATAATAAATTCGAAACTGGTCCCTCGAGGCAAATAAATTCCCCGACTACGTTAATCGAGTAAAACTCCGGCATTTGCGTGATCGTGGAGGAAATTGGAAGTGTCCAAATGTGGTGTAATCAGTTCCCAGTCGCTGAAGATTGTGGACCTACTGCAATTCATCAGTGAATGCAACAGGTGTATGGTCCATACATCCTAATTCTTGCCCAGGTTAAGGTATAGGCAAAAAAATTCGGGAAGAATTGACAAGCACGAGAGACATACAACAGTCGGGATGCCTTTTTTTTCAATACTCTTTCCTCCCTGTTGGCACTTAGAGGGCCTCTTATAGCAGGCTCATTATGGGTTCGGCCAGGCCCACAATGGAGCGACCGGGTGGTGAGGGGATGGGGCCCGACATATCCGAACGGATCACCTTCCGAAAATTTCCTGGGGATTTTTTGATCCGTCCGGATTCGATTCCGGGTTCCCCAGAGCGGTAGGCTGCCACCTCGACCGCTCGGCCATCCGGCCTTAGTAGGTTTATATCATAGTAGGATAAGTGTCTGAGCATTTGGAGTAATTTCCGTTAAAATAAAATGTTTAAATTCTGTGCTATTGCTTTTGGCTGGTTATTTATTAATCCACTTCTATAACTTGACTATTCTTGGGTTNATCACCTTCCGAAAATTTCCTGGGGATTTTTTGATCCGTCCGGATTCGATTCCGGGTTCCCCAGAGCGGTAGGCTGCCACCTCGACCGCTCAGCCATCCGGCCTTAGTAGGTTTATATCATAGTAGGATAAGTGTCTGAGCATTTGGAGTAATTTCCGTTTAAATAATATGTTTAAATTCTGTGCTATTGCTTTTGGCTGGTTATTTATTAATCCACTTCTATAACTTGACTATTCTTGGGTTTAAAAAATAGAAAAATTGAAGAACTTAAGAAATTCTGGTGCGACTAAAAATTTTTAATGAATATTTTTACCCGCGTTTTGCATAAAAAATTAATTTTAATTGCTTTGAGAAAACTAATGCAGTAGAACTTTAAAATTCTTTTTCTGTTTGACGGGTTAAGGAATGCAAAATACGTTATTGTTAAACATGTTAAACGTTATTGATCAGAAAGCAACCCTAAACACAAAAAAGTTTTTTATTCAAATAATAGAACTCACTTCTCAAGCGTTTCCGAAAAACAGACATCTAAAATTGAGTGTTTAGCTTACCACCGTATATATTTTTAAATGTATATACGTATATATTGATATATTAGAAAATGTGCAGTATTCATAAGGTTATCTAGCAGCAAAATTTAGTAATATTTGTCTTTGAATTTGCTGATAATAAAAAAGACCTACTAACTCATTGTTCAGAAGAAAAAAACCTGTTTGCACACAGTGATTTGCAAAAATGAAATACATAAATCGTACTAAAGTGATTTTTGACGTAAATACGTCTTTAACTTTGCTTCCGTGGTGGGAGGCAATTCGGAAGACTGATGATAACAAAATCGGGGGATACAGTTTGGCATTGCAACTACATATCTGTCATCTACATCAAAAATTTAATTACACCACTCGATAGTTAAAGGATCAAAAAATTCATTACGTTGAGTGGGGACTGTGACGCATCGCGGCAGCGGAGGGAAAAGCGCCCCCATTTTGAGGTCGTTTCGCCGCGTCACATACTTTCCGTTTAGTATATATTTTGACTCGGAGAAGTTACGATGCTCGTTTCAGTTTCAATTTACAGCGCTCGTCAATATTTATCGATTGCGTACACAAAATGTTAGTGTGGAATAGTTATGGTGAATATATTGTTAAAAATTAAGAAAACTTAATACAATGTAGGACTATACTCGTCGAAAAGCCAAATCAAAATATAGAAATCGCATAGGGTTGGAAAGGGCTTCTCAAGAGCAATCAAGTGATACCCATAAAACATCATATGATAAGTTAAGAGGTGCCGGGAACGTAAAAAAACATGGAGATTTGAAGGACTTCTTACGATTATGACATACATATAATACGCTCAAAGAAAATATTACCCGTTAACGTACACGTATTCACGTAAAACACACGGCCGTGTCCCCGATACAGCCACACCCCACTTTTTTTCATATGGTCTTCAAGGTCTGCTAACACTAACGAATTAAGAGAAATACAGCAGTGTGAAGAAAGGACATAAGGAATGGGAAAAATGGGGGAAGAGAATGTCATGCCACCAATATATGTATATATTGCCGTGACATTGCCAACATTTGAAGGGCCCCTGTATCTAGCCGCCCCATTGTGGGTCTGGCCCAATCTAAGACCTTGGGCCACCCCTGGTCTAGTCCCTAAGCGAGCATTAGTTTTAAATAATGCCGCTACGGCGACGGCGGAAACTAGATTTGTGTCAATTTCGTTTTCTGTTGGCAGCGATAAACTACAGTATTTTGCTAATATATAGTGGATTGTTCGTCGTATAAAATGGCATGTGGCCAGTGTAATTTGAAATATAATCATAAACGAATTTGTAGAATTTTGCCGGATGATAATTTTAAGTTAATCAGAAAAGACAGACTGTCCAAAAAAATTTTTTTTTTTGAAAACCACCATTTATTCTAATCACGTGTTTCAAAATACCTTCGACGACAAGACCTTTCTTTAGAGGCTACTAGGCCGTCAGATTAAAACATTCCTTAAAAAAACAAATATATCCAATTAAAACAATAAAGTAACTGGCGGATCTTACAGACGTCTTGAGTTTTCATCCTGTCCAGTTATTCTACACCCTTGGTTCATATGGAGATTACTGCCTTAAATGCTTTTTCTCCGAGAGACGTTTATTGATCGCTATGCGACCGAAGAGCCNAATATTATTCGTATACAACTAAATAAAAATAATAAAAGATATTTTTCATTTTCGACTCTTTCTGTTTAAGGGCATTAAGAAGGCTTTTTCCATGTCATGTTAGTTTCGGCCATCCTTGCCCACAATGGGGCTAACGAATGGGGCTAATTTATTCTTCATCATTAAGAATAAATTTGACATATCCTGGATGGATCGCCCATGAAAAATTTCTGAGTTGTTCGCCTGGATCCGATCTGAAATCCTCCAGACCGGTAGGCTGATGCCCCTCTAACTACTTGAAATCATGTAGTGAGATATTTGTCATTTATTTTTTTGACTTTTAAAAGTATAATTTCAATGAAAAGTGGATCTCAAAACATATTTATTGAATCTTAAAGATCCATCCTTCTCTTTCAGTTAAATTAAATGCCAGAATACCTTATATAGATATACGTGAAAGTAACATTCTTAATATATATTAAAAATTAAAGCCTTGCAACTAAGATTATAACTGAATATTGCAACACGAATGATCTTTTTTGTATCTAGTTTGATGAACTAGTTTTTATAAAAAAAAAAAAAAAAAAAACTTGACGGCGGGATGGCCGAGGCGGTAAAGCTAACATATCGTTCTGAAGATCGAATCTAGGAAAGCAATCTTAGAAATTTTTCATGGATGGGTTCGTCCAGGATATATCGCATTCCGTCCTCACCAACCGGTTGTCGTATTGTGAACCTTGCCGGAAATCACAATTTATATGGAAAGAAAAGGCTTTCTTACTATCCATAAGGCGCAAACTATTTTAAAAAATTCAAAAATAAGGCATTTTTTCTATTTAATATAAACAGGAAAGGAACAGATTTTGCGTAAGGCAAAACGCTTTACGCAAAATCTGAATCTGACTCATCAAAATTCGTTTGAAACAAAACAGGTACAGTACTTCATATGAATAGCATTGGGGTAATAATATATGAAAATATTCTAAATTACCTGATAGTAGGTGCCGTTCCTACAAAACCATCCGCAGTTTCAATTTCCGATATGTATAATTCATGAAGATGTTGAATAGTTCCATCTTTAAGTTCTTTATTCTTATCCAAATAGATACGGAAATCGACATTGTTTGTCGAGTCCGATGATACTGTCACTCTCAACTCAATCGAATTGCCATTCGTATTAACTATCTCAACATCATTCTGCTCAACCAAAGCTTTAGAAGACACTGCTCCGTCTAATTCCATATTTTTAAAAGTTACGAACACCAAAACCACAGATTATAACGGAACTTTGTTATTTCTTATCTCATTTTCACGATAAAATATATACAACAGAGATTGTCGATATTTGATAATCTAAGTTATTTACATTTGTTCGGATGTTTTATCAATTAATTCTATTAAATAAATCTATTCACAAATAAATTTATTTCAGTTATTTATTTAAACATAAAGGAAAAAAGAATAGAAATTTAAAATAAAATATAGTTTTCACATAATCTATTCTATTGTCTTTTTTACTCCAAATAACACTCTATGACAATTTTCGTTTTACAAATATGAAATTTTATAGCTTTACAACCAGAGATTACTGTATTCAGAATCATGCAAGAGCGATTCCAATCGAATGAGATCTAATGAAAGCATAAAATGTTTCCATTATATAAACTATTCCTTTATATGTTCGTTCCTGATGATGGCTGCACAGATAGCCGAAAATGTTAGATAATTACAGTGGAACCTCGCTTAACGAGCACCTCGCATAACGAGAAAAACAAATTGTAAAAAATTTAATCGCTTAACGAGTGACGAGGAGAGGGGAATTCCCTATTGTGTTTAGCACTCGTTCCGCTAGCATCTTAGTATCGCTTGTGATCACACATTTTTCCAAACTTGTGTTCAGACATATTACATATACAGTATCAATAATCATAGCCCGTTATATAATAAACACGCCAAACAATATACAGTAATACCCCGAACTTACGCGATAGGTGGGACCGAGCGATAACCGCGTAAGTCGAATTCGCGTAAGTCGGGGTATAATTTCGCAATTTGTGTAAAATCCAAGTCGGATGTATGTAAGCTAATAAATGTTCTCGTTAATCTTATCTCGTGTTTTGATTCGTTCACGGTTACAAGAAATCACCATATAGAGTAGGAGTCGCCAAACTTTTTTGATCGTCGACCCCCTACAACTTCTCGAAACCTCACATCAACCCCCTCCAAAAAGTTTGTGTTACAATTAAAAAAAAATAAGCTCTTACTATTTTAATATNCCATAAAACACCATATGATAAGTTAAGCGGTGCCGGGAACGTAAAAAAACATGGAGATCCGAAGGACTTCTTACGATTATGACATACATATAATACGCTCAAAGAAAATATTACCCGTTAACGTACACGTATTCACGTAAAACACACGGCCGTGTCCCCGATACAGCCACACCCCACTTTTTTTCATATGGTCTTCAAGGTCTGCTAACACTAACGAATTAAGAGAAATACAGCAGTGTGAAGAAAGGACATAAGGAATGGGAAAAATGGGGGAAGAGAATGTCATGCCACCAATATATGTATATATTGCCGTGACATTGCCAACATTTGAAGGGCCCCTGTATCTAGCCGCCCCATTGTGGGTCTGGCCCAATCTAAGACCTTGGGCCACCCCTGGTCTAGTCCCTAAGCGAGCATTAGTTTTAAATAATGCCGCTACGGCGACGGCGGAAACTAGATTTGTGTCAATTTCGTTTTCTGTTGGCAGCGATAAACTACAGTATTTTGCTAATATATAGTGGATTGTTCGTCGTATAAAATGGCATGTGGCCAGTGTAATTTGAAATATAATCATAAACGAATTTGTAGAATTTTGCCGGATGATAATTTTAAGTTAATCAGAAAAGACAGACTGTCCAAAAAAATTTTTTTTTTTGAAAACCACCATTTATTCTAATCACGTGTTTCAAAATACCTTCGACGACAAGACCTTTCTTTAGAGGCTACTAGGCCGTCAGATTAAAACATTCCTTAAAAAAACAAATATATCCAATTAAAACAATAAAGTAACTGGCGGATCTTACAGACGTCTTGAGTTTTCATCCTGTCCAGTTATTCTACACCCTTGGTTCATATGGAGATTACTGCCTTAAATGCTTTTTCTCCGAGAGACGTTTATTGATCGCTATGCGACCGAAGAGCCAGCCGTTTCGAACATCCTATACGCGCGCGCGGGAAAGAATGCCTTCCGGGAGGACTTTTATGAGGAACTGCTCCTGTCCAGTTCTTTCTTATTAATATGGAGACTCTAGCCTATTGGCTTCCTATCCAGTTAGGGAATTTCAAACCTTTATATCCACTTGATGAGTGCGCTGTTAAATGTAGATTTCGGTGATATTCCTCTGTTGACGAATTATTTCAAAAAAAAATTTCGAATTCGAATTTTTATGGTCAAGGTGACAGCCTACCGCTGTGGAGAACCCGAAATCAAATCAGGACGGGTTAAAAAAAAATTCCCCGAATTTTTCGGGGGTTATCCGACTGGATATGTCTCTCACTAACCAGCCACCCCTTTGTGGGCTTAGTCGGACCTATAATGGGTGTGCTAAAAGAGACCCTCTTAGTGCCCACAGGGCGAAAAGAGTAAAAGAGGGAGAGGGCGAAAAGAGCAAAAAAAAAAAAGGTCAGTCTTAGCAAGATCATTTATAGTATCTGCTTCAGCTTCAGGCCCTTAAATTGACCGAAAATGTTTGTTCTGTGATTAAAGTTATTACTGGAAAAGTACGAATAGTGTTTTTATTTTATTGTTAAATCTCGAGTTGTTAAAAACAATTTTTTGAGTTGGCTACGTTTGGGCTACTTTTTAGAACATTTTTGGCTACAAAAGCGATAAACATCTGGCAACGTACTAAAAGAAAGAAAGACGCTTACTTTGTGCTTCGCCTCCATTTGAGCATGACGTGTGAGAAACGTCTTCTTCGAAGTCGTTGGTTACGGACGGTAAGGTTTTAGATTATTGGTCATTGAGTTAAAGAAAATTTCATTAATATGTAGGAAAAGAATTATATTTCCGTAATATGTGTTGATTAATCTTATAGTTATTTCTGGTAAGCGGATGATTTCGGATTTAAAATTTTAACATTTCTGTTTCAAAACCACGTGCTCTTTAGAGATGGGAAAAATAATTTGGTATATTCCTATATTTTAGCAGAATATGTCTGATTTAGACTTAGAAGTAATGTAATTTACGTTCGTAGAGTTTTTTTAAGGGTTAAAAATTACTTTTGTCAATCCAGCAAAAATTTAATATAATAATAACCTTTTCAATCGCTTTAAACGATCTTCATCAGTTACAGAAAAATAGAATATAAAATGATCATGGAATAAATATAAAAATTAACGAAAGATGACTTTGCGGATTAAATACGAGTAGGGTAAAAGTTTATCCTTACTGCATGGGGCCTTTTTTTGTAATTTTGCTCTCTTAAGACACCTCTCTAGTAGTTATGTCCTAAACACAGAAATTTTTGGGGACAACGTGTATAATAAGAGCTATTTGCACTTTTCACCGGATGTTCATTCTTGTGTATTATGCGCAGTAAAGATGAAAAGGGTTAAATTTCAGATACCGTATACCGTCATGGCGGCTCATCTCTGATTCCAGCAAACAAAAGGAAACAGTGGGGATGCACGTTCTAACCTAACCTAACCTATTCTAATAAATTACCGTAATTATTAACAACCAAATTATTAGAATAGGTTAGGTTAGGTTAGAACGTGCGTCCCCACTGTTTCCTTTTGTTTGCTGGAATCAGAGATGAGCCGCCATGACTGTATACGTATCTGGAATTTAACCGTAAGTTGTTGTCTATTCCCACACGAAAAACATGATTATTCGGAAATTGATCAGTTATATTTATGAGCCTTGAATTCTGAAAGAGTGGATTAGACTGTTAAGAATTTGCAGTTTCCCAATTGTCCAACTTTACACGAACAAGTTATGCTGTCGATTTTAAAACATATTTTCTTAAAGTTTAAAATGTCAGTAATTTTGTGTAGGACACAGGGCTGGATTTAAGCATTTCGAAGCCCTGAGCTGAACTCTGTAAGGCCCCTTACAAACCCTTCACAATTTTAGAAGTCAGTCATAAAAAGAAAAGACTTAAATCAGACTATGACTCATTTAATATGAATATTGGAAGAAAAAGACATGAGGTTTCACTAGTTCTCTGTTTTCTAACTGAATTTAATTAAATTTTTATACCCATTCCATTAAAAAAATTTTTTAAAATTAGTTTTATCAATTTTTTTTAAAAGATCTTATGTTAATTCTCAGAAAAAAAGTTAATGAAATACTACACAAAATAAACAGTAAAGTATATTTTGTTGGTTTGTAAAAAAATGTTTATTACAAAATCTGACTTAAATTTTCTTTTTTGTACAAATGTTTGAGGTCCCTTAAAAGTCGAGGCTTTTTACTTGTAAATCCAACCCTGATGGGACAATATCAAAGCTGATGTTTTTTAACACAAAGGGCACAAATATGTATAGAACGATCTCACTCATTTGTTTCCATACCACAAAATGACGTGTCCTGCTAACAATAATTGTTCTCCTTCTATAAAATTTCTCAATAAACAGCTACAGGCAGCATATATAATTATATCGGAGAGTAATATATGATTCATTTTAAATTACTAGTTACAAGCGACCCAGATAAAGTAGCCATTTTGTAAAAATGCAGCACCCTCTATAGTTCATGAAAAACGCAAATAAGTGAAAACTCGTCGGATTATCTACCAACTGCCTGGTGGAATCCACCATTGCTTAACTAAAGATTATGTTAAAACTCTTTTAGAAAAAGAGATTTAAAAAATTATAGCTTTTCACATTTTGAAAAATGTTTGAATTTGATTTGCAATGATGATACACCAATTAAGTTTATGCTTGAAATCTTCCATAAATTTTTTGGATAATTCTTGATGTTTTGAAATAATGTCCGAATCTACATTGTTTTCAACTTCTCTAATAATTTCTTTGTGCAGTTGTTGATATTTACAAACAAGCTTCATATTGAGGAAATGTTAAAGTTAATATGAAATTTTGACTCGGTCTTTGATGTTGAGACACAAGATCCCAGTTTAGACAATCGTGATATTGAGTCAAAAAGTTTTCTGATAGCTGTTGATAACGACAAACATTGTCCCAATTAATTTGTTGAATGTACTTTTGTATAAAATCAGAGGAGAAACTCTTGCTTTTTCATATTTTATTCCAATTTAATTTGTTTAAGAAATCGTTAATAAATTCAGTACTAAGATTAGTTTTTTTAGAAATAATGTCAGTAGTATATGTATGAGAGACTCTGGGATAATTTGTTAAACTTTTAAAGGTTTATAACTTTTATCCCAGAAACTCATCATTTTGAGGGAAAGACGTCGAGCAGGGGCTAAAATCGAGCATAATTTCAGAATCTCGAGCAATTCTGAGATAATTACCATCCCAAAAACTCATAGGAGTAGAAACCACACCCATTTTTGATGCCCCTTCAGTTATACTTTTCTGCACAATTTGAACGAGAGTTTCTGGGATAAATCGCTCAGTTATAAGAGAACATTTTTCTAATTGTTCCGTAGATAATTTTTTTAGACGTTTTCTATATAACGGGGAGACTAATATTTTTGGCAAGACTAAAGATATTGTAAACGGGAGTACAGATGCAATGCTTCAAAAAACAATTTTTAGATTCCAAAATATTAAATTCAGATGTTTTAAACTGTTCTATATATTTAAAATTTATATATATATAAGAGAACTATTATTTTATATAACTTTTAAACCAATTATATGGAAAAACACCTTTTTTTTTCAACAGATAGCTATTTTTATTATTCGAAAAAAATTGATTAAAGATCGGAAAGTCTTACTTTGAATTTATTAAATTCTCAGTTAGTCTTGATAATGATGAATGTAAAAAATGATAACTGTCTAAAAATTTAAAACAATCTAAAGCAGTGGTTCCCAATTAGTGGTACGCGTACCCCCAGGGGGACGCGAAATTGCATGAAGGGGTACTCGCGGCAATCTAAAATCGGTCGATTTAAAATTTAAATGCATGAGATGAAGCAAAAAAAATAATAATGGGTGGACCATCAAAAATTTGGCAATTTACCACACGATGTCGAATGCACAAATTCATTTATTTATAACTAAAAATATTCTTGAAATTTCATTAAAAAAATGCATTTGTGGCAATACCTAAATGAAATTCTTGTGCAAGAAACAAAAATTGTACAATTAACATTAATGTCAGTGAAGTGGCAATAAAATATTTACCACCATTTTGCACAACATGGCCGAAAATCCTCTGCGAGAGGATTTTTGGCCATGACAAACATGAAAACTAAACATCGTCACCGACTTCGACTCGAAGATGACTCGAGACTGAAGCTAACCAAAAAGCAACCAGATTTCACAAAGTTGTGCAGATTTGTCACGTTAAAATTAAATAACCTTATGTTATTTTCATTATTATTACAATTGTATTTTAAAGATAATAAATGTAAAAAAAAAAAACTTATTCTCTTTATCACTAGCTGTCTACCCACAGCTTCTCCCGCATTATATGGAATTTTCTCGTGGTAATAAGATATTTTCTCGCATGTATTTTCTCGTAAAATGTAGCCTATGTCCATCTCCAACATGTAAACTATCTCTGTGCCCAATTTTATTAAAAACTGTTCAGCAGTTAAAACGTAAAAAGGTAACAGACAGACAGCATTACCTTCGAATTTATAATAATAGTATGGATTAATATGAATTTCTGCTATAAGGGGCACGCGAGTTTGAGCTCTTTCTTGAAGTGGTATGCAGGAAAAATTAATTGGGAACCACTGATCTAAAGTATATATAGTGTATTTTTCCATATTGATGGGAATACAGGTAACCCCCGTATAACACGGCACTTCTACAGCGTGGATTCACTCTAACACGGTTCGAGAATTGGTACCATCCCCCGTATAACACGATACTTTTATAGCACGGATTCACTCTGACACGGTTTGAGAATTGGGTAAAACCCTCGTACAACAGGAAATGTAATAAATTTTTACATACCTAAGTAATAATAGTTCACGAAAATTATTATTTTCGTGAACTATTAGTACTTAAGTATGTAAATTTTCTCTTCTTGCCTTCTGTCGATACACATGGTCCTTCTCGAAACTTGTTTCAATGTTGCCATCTTGAAAATATAAATCCTCCTCATTATAATGAGAGGAAACATATATACTATTCCATATTTCTGAGATCATTTCTTCCCTCACATAATTTATATTATTTATTTTTAAGTTATATATCTTGTAAAATTTTGAACTTCCATGATTCCTGAATTTCTATGATTTATTTTTGATCATATAAAGTTGACGGTTTATAGTAGTGTATGTAGAAATGAAAGCATTGAGGAAACATATATACTATTCCATATTTCTGAGATCATTTCTTCCCTCACATAATTTATATTATTTATTTTTAAGTTATATATCTTGTAAAATTTTGAACTTCCATGATTCCTGAATTTCTATGATTTATTTTTGATCATATAAAGTTGACGGTTTATAGTAGTGTATGTAGAAATGAAAGCATTTATATTACATGTTTTCGAGGTTAATTTATTCATATAATTTTTTTCAGGGATATAAAATCTGAATTATTTAATATCACAAATTTTGGAAACGAGTATAGAGATGTTTTGTCGTCCTAACTATGAAATCTGAAGTCTGCTTCCTTTAAGGTAATTAATCTTATCAAACTTTTTATAAATAAAACTTAAGTGATGATTTCATAGTTCAGCTGACTGTAATGATTGTAAAATTTAAGTCTTTCGCTCCTATCTGAAAAATATGATACATTGAAAATTTTAAACATATTTGAATATTTTTTTTTACACAATTTTTTTAATTTTAGATGAATGCACCTGCTTGGTTATTTTAATGTCATGTGATCTATCAGTAATAGGTAGGTGTATTTTTTTCAGTATGATAAAAATTTAGAATTAAATGATTAAACAATAATGGTATTTGCTACTAATGAATGTGTGATTTAAAAACCATGTATGATACTTATTTATTCTACATTAAAGTATGTGTTTTGTTTTATCTGAATTTAATTTTATTTAATTTCATTTCAGGTTGGCGAAGAAGAAAATGTATGTATGTATGTATGTAATCTATAATTCTATATTTATACATTTAAATAAGTTTTCAAACAGTGGAAACATTGACAAATATAGGAATAAGTTCCTCCCCTCAATTATGAGACATTGGAAATTTTATTATTTTTCTTACAATTTGGTATTAGCATGGTTCTCATTTGGTTTCCTTTTCTTGATTGTTAGTAACTTAATATAAAATGAGCATTAATATAAATTAATTTCTGCAGAGATTTATCACTCAATGATACAAATTTGAATAATTTGGAACATCATGAAAAAGTGTTATATTCAGTAACAAATGTTCCAGTTAGCAAGGTTGGGATATGCTTGATCTAATGTAATTTTTAAGTTTGCAAAAGAATTGCATCATGATAAGATATTAATTCTAATACAAGCTTTACTTTGTTTTTAATCTAGTATGGAAATTTTCAGCTTGTGGCATTGGAGTGATTTTTGATAGTATGCAGCAGGTTTCAAGACCATAGCAGAAGAAAAATCAAAGAATGGAAAATATGTAATTTACTGACAATTCAAAACAAACTTTTTATTTTTGTGATGCATTCTCTCCAATGCTTGAAATTCCACTTTTGTTTTGACTAGAAATTTTTTCAATACATTTAACCGCAGATAATGCTTCAAGCATTCATAAAATGCATACTTTCAGGACATGTAACATGGCTTGTGAAACACAGATAATTTTAGAAATTCTCCTCTCCTATCTATGAAGAATAATTAATTGCTACTTCATAAGATTGGCATGCTAATGCTAAGCTATTTCCATTGCTTGCTGCTTGTAACAGTTTACATTTAAAAAGTTTTGCACCAAATAAATTTTTACACTAAACCATATATTAATATTTCTAGACATTTAGTCTTTAAATTGAACAGATGCATTAGAAAATCATTTTAAAAATTTGTCAATTCTGTTTCCACAATATTTTGAATAAATGATGATCACTTTGCTCTGTCTCTGACATAAGATGATTATTCTGTATTAGCTCTATCTGATATTCATTAAACTTAGCTTCCTTTCTGTTGTTAACCTATTTTTATTCATTAAAATTTTTTTCTTTTCAGGAGTATTGTCTGCAAAATTAAATGGTAAGAATATTTTTAAATATCTTTTTATAATTGCCAACAAATTTAATGTTTTAATATAGACTGCAGACTGTTCAGTAAAGTTAAACATCAACCTAATTTATGTATTAATATTAGTATATTTAAATTCATAATGATGATTAGAGGTATTTGCTACCCTTGAATATTTCATGAAGAATGGAATTTCTGAATATTATCCTTTATTAATGTAAATATTAGTCTAAATTTTAAAAAAATTAACATTGTTTTTCTTTATACAGGGAGTCTTGGGCAGATTCATCAAGAAAATTACAGGTAACTATTGTATTAGTCATCAAAATTTCATTTTTAATTTGTGATGAAAAAATGATAGGGACAAATGAAATTGAAATGATTTCCTATTGAACTCTTTCTTTCTGAACATTAAGTTTAAATGTGATTTTTCAGACAATTTAAGTTATTTATATTTGTTTTCAGGATTTTTGCATCACATGCAAAAATCAGCAGATGGATTGTGGCATCATCTCTTCATTGTCACCATCTCTGCACAGCAACCACCAATTAACACACGTCATAGTGATTAGCAGTCTGCACTTGCTTTTGAACAGCCAAGCTGTCTGCTTTTTTAAAGTTAGACAATAATCTAAATGCAATATGTTTGTCTTGCATTGGGTTCCTTAACTCTGCATTTGGTAAGCAGAACGGGTGCTGTGGGATGTTTTTCTTTTTGTAATTTTACAAAAGTTAAAATAAAATATTTTAGTTATTAAATGAATTTTAGTATAATAATGTCAATTCAATGTAGTGTAATAAGTTGTGTTTGTAAAGATTAATGTGATTTTAAATCAATTTAGTAAAATTAAATTTTAACAAAGGAGAAAAGAATATATTTCAAGCAAACAGAAGAGGGGTTTATACCTGAAACACATCTTGGCAATTAATAAAGTGATGTATTAGTCTATTGCCTTATTATACTATTATATTATGTGTAAGAGAATTTAAAATATCGCAAAGCCCGAGCAGTATACAATAAATCACCAAATGATCGCCTAAATATGGGGCTATAATATGGCTAATGAAATGATTAGTGTCAAATTACTTTATACCAATCATTTCATTAGCCATATTATAGCCTGATATTTTGGTGATTTATTGTAAAAGAATTTAAAAAAAATTAATTTTATAAAACTTGTTTGTAGTACATGTATTTTGTGTTAGTAAATTTGCCACGCTGCATTGTATGCTATGTCATACTTTTCCTATAACAATAGAGTTGGGGCAGTCATTGTCCAACACTCTTCGGGGAAACTTCTGAATTGAAATATCTTGACCTCTGGTTTACATCAGAAGTGCATATATAGTTATTCGGGGGGCTTCCTGCTCCTAAGGTTTCCACATTCGGTCTTGTCTCATCTAACTCCATTCTTGAGATTAAGGAAAGACAGACGGCAGTGGAAATTTCAAATTGCAGCCCAAATAACTTAGACATGGAGGAGCTTTCCAGAACAAATTTCAATTTAAGAAAGCTTACCATTCTATCTTTTTACAAAAGAGGAACTCAAGAAAAAAAATTTGACTTCAAGTATTATCAAAGGCTTTGTAATAGTATAAAATTATTTATAAAAACTTCACAGTAAAAACTAATTTAGTTTTTGCCATTTTAAGGATGGATGTTGAAATCAAATGAGCCAGCATATTCATAAATTCTGGATTTTATTCCTAATTTTCTATTGCATTGCACCGTATTAAACGAATGTTTGAAACATGGCAATATGTTAAAATCTTTTAATTTTCATATAAGAACTCCAACGAGAGCATTTTCAATACTTTATTTTCATTTAGAACTTACAACAATATCAACAGAAGTACAGAATATAAAAAAATAAAATTGACATGTTACAAAATTTCAGGCTGCATTGCTGTAAATGATTTCACTTGTACATTACACAACCATATTTTTAATAATAACCAGATTTTAAAGCTTCCCATTACCAAGCAATTAAAGTACTGTACATTCAATTAAATTATTAAAATTTACATAACAGTCAAACTTTGTTTGCTTGAAATATAGCATATTCAAAAATCAAGAAATTATATTGTATTTCAGCTAATATAACATTATGGAAACTGGAGAAAAGAAAAATTAATGAACAATAATTATAGTCAGATTTTTATGTACTCCAGATAATGGAAACAAGCACTCTTTATAATGAGACTTGTATAATGCCAATTAGGTCTAATTGGCATTATACAGATATCAGGCAAAAGTTAAGAATGTCAGTAGTAGTCTTCTCTAATAAAATTTTAGACATTATACCAAAGAGAAAAATTAAAAATCTTCAGTTGCATTGATTCAATCATATATATTTAGCCCCAATTCAGTTTTTTTAAATTACAAAAAAATTTTTTTTTACTTTAATAATAGAATTATGTATCTTACAATAGAATATTATTAGGAGTTAGCAAAGAAAGGAGAAAAATCTAGTTATTAACTATTGGATGAACTTATCAATCTGATAATCATTTGGTATTAATCAAGAATCGGATTAAGCAATATTTACATCAAATATGATTTTAGCCTAAATTTTTACTTTTTTTGTTCAAAAAATGCCAATAGACTAATTCACAGAGAACAATGTAACAATTACACATAGTGTTACCACCCGGACATTCCGGGTGAAGTATTAATTTCGTCTGGGAATATCATGCGCAACCTGTCAACTTTTTTTTTTGCTTGTACGATTCGTACACATTTCCAACATCCAATAGAGCTAAGTCATCTGTACAGTAGTTCTTTCTTAATTTAGGTTACTTACATTACTACCCTACCCTAGTCCCTAACCATAACTGATTTAGAACCGGCATGCACTGCACATTATTCTTCGCATTGCAAAATGACATTGCACATGCACCAGATACTTCTGTTTGAACAAACCTCACCTGCCGCATACATTAAGGACAAATGTAACGATTTTTTATTCTAAAATTGTAAACATGGACTTCTTGGATTAATAGGACTATTACACTAGTGTATTGGTTATTAACAAGAGGAATTCTTAATCAGAAAATCTTTATTTTTTCACCCGTAGTAGTTTTTCCTAACACACGTTTCAGGCAAATTGGCTCTTCAGCAGTTTAACTATAATGATGTTAGAATTCTTGTATCCAATTACTTCAAAATATGCATAAATCACACTTAGAAGTAATTGGATACAAGAAATCTAAGTTTTAATATTTTGTTGTCGGGCCTTTAAATTTATTAAATACAGTAATTTTATTACTGTATTTTTACTGTATTACTTAATGTTTATTACTGTATTAAATACAGTGGTACCTCTGTATACGTCTGCTTTAGAATACGTTTAATTTGGAATACGTCCTGTTTGGACGAAATAAATTTTGCTCGGTCTACGACTTAATTCAATTATACGTGCCATCTATGAACAAGTAGCACTATCGATGTACTAGACCAGATGTTCACGGTGCCACGGTTTATAACTTTGTTAAATTTTTTCTGATTTTAATTTGTAAGTAAAATTTTATTATTTTTATTAATCATGAATCGCAAAAAGGCAAATGAAAAGCAACAGAAAACTAAAAAAATGACTAGAATAACAATGGAACGGAAAAAAGAGATTGTTGAGAAATATGAAGATGGCATGCATGTTCGAGATTTAACTGTTGCATACTGTATTCTGAGAACAACGATAAAAAATCAATTTCTGAACAGAGATCGAAGCATTAGATCATGTTGAGAAATTGCTTTTGCTTTGGATAACTGAAAAACAGTGTCCTGACGACAGCATATCAGAAGTAATTATTTGCAAGAAAGCTAAAAAGTTACATGCTGATCTCATGAAAAATTAAGCAGGAACTAGCCAGAAAAGCGAGGTGTTTAAAGACAGCCATTTTTTTACATGAGAACAGATTAATCATTTTTACATTACTTCTTATGAGAAAGGTTGGTTTGGTATAAGTCCAAACACCAGGAACGGATTAGGGTCGTATACTGTGGTTCCACTGTATTTGTATTATACAGTAGAACATCGATTATCTGAAACAATTTGGGACTGGGGTTGTTCGGATAACCGATTAGGTACAAAAAAATATATTAGCCTATCCCATGTTGAAATTCATTCAAATCCTGGCGTGTCCTTAAGTACCCTCTCATGGTCACGCTGGTGCTGCCAGCTAAAACACAACCAAGAAAAATAATATTGGAGTAGCTCAAGACATAGCCAAATATTGCAGCAGCACCACAGCACTAGTGGAAATTTAAATTTGCTGACTGGAACACTCAGTTGATCGATATTTGGATAATCAATGCTCTACTATACATTTCTAGAACATTGTTGTTGTAAAACTGCTGAAGAGGGATCAATTTGCCCAAAACACGTATATTATGTTTACAGGAAAAACTACTACAGGTGAAAAAATAAAGATTTTCTGATTAAGAACTCCTCCTCTTGTTAATAGCCAATACACTAGTGTAGTAGGACCATTAATCCAATAAGTCCACGTAAAATAAAATTTCACATAAGACCATATCAAATTTAAACCAATGTTTTCTAATTACTTTACATTGCTAACAAAAACATAATATAAAATGTCATATCCAAAAGAATATAGGTGCATTGTACCTTTTCTGCTTTTGCTCTGCACAAAAGGTAACAAGATCAATAATTCTAGCAATAAGAAAACAAAATAAAGCCATACCCCTAACTGGAAGATGATCTTCCAGAAGTAGAGAAGATAAGTCATTTGGATAAGAAAATGAATAACTTTGCTGATATCATTTTGGATTGAGACACCACTCTTGAAAGCATTTTCTGCACTGTCTTTACTGATCTCAATCTTTTGCAAAAAGCTTTCTTGAAAAACAAGTATCCTGCAATCAGACTAATGAAAGAAATGATTACTTTTTGCTTTGAATTATTCTTTTTATATTTGAAGTTGATCCAAGCTAAGGAGAAAGGAAAGACGTAGAAGTACAACAAAGAGAAGATTAGTACAAAGGAAAAGTAAAAATAAGAAAAGAACACTCATCTTTTAACACTTTTTTTTAAATTTTATATCCAATTATAGATGCATTGTATATGCTAGATTTAGGTTAATATTAAGGTAATCACTTGACATTACTAAATACTGTAGTTATTTTCATGTATTTGATACTATATAAGAATGTAATCATATAGTTAAATACATAATACTTAATCTTTGAGAATGTATGTAGAAATTTTAAGATAAATTTAGCATGCTTTAATGACAAACGAACAATCAGTTTGATTCTTATTTAATAATATACTTACACTAATTACTGTAATAAATATATATATATATCAAATATAGAGCCTATATTTATAAAGTATCACATGACAATTTTGTGCACAAACCTTGAAAATGCATTGTATGGAAGAGTTCTGCATTTAGATTTTTAATTAAAAATGCACAGATATGCAAGGAAACAATTCCTAAATGGACTAGAGCATTTATAAATTACTTTGGTCCCTCAATAATTTTTTTTATAATTAAATTTTACATAATTTCATTTGCATTTAAATCTATTAATAAAAAGATTATCTTCATACTAGGGTACAGAGATTCAGCATATTACCATTGATTAAAAATAAATGATTTATAATTTATATTAAAAAAATAAAATTTTAAAGTTAAATTGCTAAAGTTTACTAAATTTTTATTTCACATAAAAATATTTGATGTGAAATTTAAAAAAACCACTATCTTGAAAAATATTTCTTTACACTATATCCAATTTTTTAATTAAATAACATATGTAACAGAATTACACATTGAAGAAATTCATTTTAAATGAATTAAAACTTAGAAAGCATTAAATTTTTGACTGAATTTATTAACTTTTAGACTAATAAATATTAGAAAAAGTTTATTACACTAAACATATTCATTATAGAATTCTATAAACTATAAAAATTGGAAGACTCGTTTAAAATTCTCTTCCAAAAACAAAATTTAACAACAAATAAAATTTGATTTTTTGCTTCAGTTTTCATGATTTATGATTAATGTGCTCAAATTTTTCAGCAAAAGTTTCTAAGTAAATGTATTCATTCTCATTCAAAAAGTATAAAATTTTTTCATTGAAATATTAATATATAAACAAATTTTGGATGGAATATTTAATATTAATTTATATTACTACAGTATATACATGCTTGCATTTTTAATGGAAGGCACTGAATTTAAGGCCAAATGGAATGCTAAGAGGTCATTTCAAGAATATTAAACTTTGAAGCTTAAAATCAATAATTAAGTAGTAAACCTATGTAGATCAAATAAACTTCATTGTTTTTGAAGTATCATTTCTTCAAGTAGTTTGTATCTTTCTGCCATTGCATCATATATCTAGAAAAATATATTAATATATCAACACACATATGTCGTAACATAATTTGATGTGTTTGTTATTTTAGTGAACTAATATTGAATAATTTATAAACTATTCTATTTTAAAATGTAAAATGTTGTAAAAAAACAATATGAAATTCATATCATAATTAAATTCTTGATTAAGGTGGTCACCTTAATCAAGATTTTAACTTTGATGAAGTGGGACAAAATTGACGGGGGTAGAGGTTGTCTTGTTGAGAAAAGTTGTTAAGAAAAATTGAGCAACAAAATTTTATCATCAAAGAATGCAAAAATTGTATTACATTTAAATTTCAACATTTGCAAAAAAATTGCTTAAATACTGAGTAAGTAGTTAGTATGTACATGATTACATGAACATATTTTATTGTTAGTTTATAAAATAAACAAAATGGCTTTGCCATTTTTGGGACGAGACTATCTCGAAGAGCACGAGCAATGCATGAGCAAATCTCACTCGCTCCTGTTTGTAGAAACAGTCATCATTTGAGCTGGTTCTCAGTTCCCTGACTACATACAAGTCTGGTTTTTTTGTGCCTGCATGATTTGGGCACCAAATACTCTGTGCCAAATTGCAGCTCCTGACATGTACTCCTTCATACCTCTAGGTGTCAAGCCATTGACAGCAGCATGATTTCAGAGACAAGACATAGTCTCCCATGTTGAAATTCATTCAAATCCTGGCGTGTCCTTAAGTACCCTCTCATGGTCACGCTGGTGCTGCCAGCTAAAACACAACCAAGAAAAATAATATTGGAGTAGCTCAAGACATAGCCAAATATTGCAGCAGCACCACAGCACTAGTGGAAATTTAAATTTGCCGACTGGAACACTCAGTTGATCGATATTTGGATAATCAATGCTCTACTATACATTTCTAGAACATTGTTGTTGTAAAACTGCTGAAGAGGGATCAATTTGCCCAAAACACGTATATTATGTTTACAGGAAAAACTACTACAGGTGAAAAAATAAAGATTTTCTGATTAAGAACTCCTCCTCTTGTTAATAGCCAATACACTAGTGTAGTAGGACCATTAATCCAATAAGTCCACGTAAAATAAAATTTCACATAAGACCATATCAAATTTAAACCAATGTTTTCTAATTACTTTACATTGCTAACAAAAACATAATATAAAATGTCATATCCAAAAGAATATAGGTGCATTGTACCTTTTCTGCTTTTGCTCTGCACAAAAGGTAACAAGATCAATAATTCTAGCAATAAGAAAACAAAATAAAGCCATACCCCTAACTGGAAGATGATCTTCCAGAAGTAGAGAAGATAAGTCATTTGGATAAGAAAATGAATAACTTTGCTGATATCATTTTGGATTGAGACACCACTCTTGAAAGCATTTTCTGCACTGTCTTTACTGATCTCAATCTTTTGCAAAAAGCTTTCTTGAAAAACAAGTATCCTGCAATCAGACTAATGAAAGAAATGATTACTTTTTGCTTTGAATTATTCTTTTTATATTTGAAGTTGATCCAAGCTAAGGAGAAAGGAAAGACGTAGAAGTACAACAAAGAGAAGATTAGTACAAAGGAAAAGTAAAAATAAGAAAAGAACACTCATCTTTTAACACTTTTTTTTAAATTTTATATCCAATTATAGATGCATTGTATATGCTAGATTTAGGTTAATATTAAGGTAATCACTTGACATTACTAAATACTGTAGTTATTTTCATGTATTTGATACTATATAAGAATGTAATCATATAGTTAAATACATAATACTTAATCTTTGAGAATGTATGTAGAAATTTTAAGATAAATTTAGCATGCTTTAATGACAAACGAACAATCAGTTTGATTCTTATTTAATAATATACTTACACTAATTACTGTAATAAATATATATATATATCAAATATAGAGCCTATATTTATAAAGTATCACATGACAATTTTGTGCACAAACCTTGAAAATGCATTGTATGGAAGAGTTCTGCATTTAGATTTTTAATTAAAAATGCACAGATATGCAAGGAAACAATTCCTAAATGGACTAGAGCATTTATAAATTACTTTGGTCCCTCAATAATTTTTTTTATAATTAAATTTTACATAATTTCATTTGCATTTAAATCTATTAATAAAAAGATTATCTTCATACTAGGGTACAGAGATTCAGCATATTACCATTGATTAAAAATAAATGATTTATAATTTATATTAAAAAAATAAAATTTTAAAGTTAAATTGCTAAAGTTTACTAAATTTTTATTTCACATAAAAATATTTGATGTGAAATTTAAAAAAACCACTATCTTGAAAAATATTTCTTTACACTATATCCAATTTTTTAATTAAATAACATATGTAACAGAATTACACATTGAAGAAATTCATTTTAAATGAATTAAAACTTAGAAAGCATTAAATTTTTGACTGAATTTATTAACTTTTAGACTAATAAATATTAGAAAAAGTTTATTACACTAAACATATTCATTATAGAATTCTATAAACTATAAAAATTGGAAGACTCGTTTAAAATTCTCTTCCAAAAACAAAATTTAACAACAAATAAAATTTGATTTTTTGCTTCAGTTTTCATGATTTATGATTAATGTGCTCAAATTTTTCAGCAAAAGTTTCTAAGTAAATGTATTCATTCTCATTCAAAAAGTATAAAATTTTTTCATTGAAATATTAATATATAAACAAATTTTGGATGGAATATTTAATATTAATTTATATTACTACAGTATATACATGCTTGCATTTTTAATGGAAGGCACTGAATTTAAGGCCAAATGGAATGCTAAGAGGTCATTTCAAGAATATTAAACTTTGAAGCTTAAAATCAATAATTAAGTAGTAAACCTATGTAGATCAAATAAACTTCATTGTTTTTGAAGTATCATTTCTTCAAGTAGTTTGTATCTTTCTGCCATTGCATCATATATCTAGAAAAATATATTAATATATCAACACACATATGTCGTAACATAATTTGATGTGTTTGTTATTTTAGTGAACTAATATTGAATAATTTATAAACTATTCTATTTTAAAATGTAAAATGTTGTAAAAAAACAATATGAAATTCATATCATAATTAAATTCTTGATTAAGGTGGTCACCTTAATCAAGATTTTAACTTTGATGAAGTGGGACAAAATTGACGGGGGTAGAGGTTGTCTTGTTGAGAAAAGTTGTTAAGAAAAATTGAGCAACAAAATTTTATCATCAAAGAATGCAAAAATTGTATTACATTTAAATTTCAACATTTGCAAAAAAATTGCTTAAATACTGAGTAAGTAGTTAGTATGTACATGATTACATGAACATATTTTATTGTTAGTTTATAAAATAAACAAAATGGCTTTGCCATTTTTGGGACGAGACTATCTCGAAGAGCACGAGCAATGCATGAGCAAATCTCACTCGCTCCTGTTTGTAGAAACAGTCATCATTTGAGCTGGTTCTCAGTTCCCTGACTACATACAAGTCTGGTTTTTTTGTGCCTGCATGATTTGGGCACCAAATACTCTGTGCCAAATTGCAGCTCCTGACATGTACTCCTTCATACCTCTAGGTGTCAAGCCATTGACAGCAGCATGATTTCAGAGACAAGACAGTCTCATCAAAAATTAATTTTACAAAAAATTGATTGTCATAAAGTACCTATGATGAACTATATTTTAACAATTATTTTAATCCTGTATTTCTTTCTAAATAATAATAATAATAATAATACTAACTTGTATTACTTTTCCTCTGAATTTACAATAATAAAGTGACACTCAAGGCAATTTTTCTTATTATATAATACTGTTGTAACCAAAATGAATCCTAGTCCCACCGCTAGCAATAAATTGATGCAAATGGATGTGCTTACTCTTGCTAGTCACTAGCTTTCTAAGGCGGCGGCGGCGACAGATGAACTCTGCTCCATGTAACACGCAACTACAACATGTTCGCTCGTTTGGACAGCCTGTGAACATGCACTGCTCCGTTGCTGCAGTTGTGCACCCCAAACCATTTTCTGTCAGTCTTTGCTGGTGCAGCATTCTTTATTTCTGATGCTCATGCACACCTTGGTACTGATACATGTGATACAAAATGATCTTTATGAATCCTTATTCTTGATAGTTGAATATGCTTTTAATGAGTGTAAAAAAAATTGATGTTCTTTAAACTTACAATACCAGTATAAATAAAATTAATCTCAAAAGAATTTAAAACATATTAATTATGATATTAAGATATGACAACTGTAAATGATATAACTAATGTCACCAAACCACTAATCTAAAAAACTATATAAATTAAACAAAAAGAAAAGTTAAAAAATATTGTAGAATTATTATTAATAAATAACTTTTTTTAATAGATGATAGTGATAGAATAAACTACTATTACAGTAGAATCCTATTTAACCAAGATTGCATTATTCTGCATAAGATGAATTGTGGGAGAGTAGTTTGTTTATAAAATAAACATTCTGTGTTATCAAAGTTTTTGATTATTTGAAATATACTGTCAACATTATCTTAAATAGAGGGGATTCTACTATAATAGTAATTTTTTTTTAAAGCCATGAAACGTGTTCAAAATTTATCAGAGAAATAAAACTTTTTATGAAATTCTTAACAATTTTCTTAATTTTTGAATAATACTTTGTCTATTTTATTGTTTGATTTCTTAAATACTAAACAATATTGCAAAATTTATAATTCATAACTTTGTAAAAATGTCAATCATAATTACAAATTTGTATAAAGTAATATGTAGTTAATAACCACTTATNACTGCAGACGGAGGCGTCGGTGGGTGGCTGTTAACGATAGAACACATACTGGGCGTCAGGAGATCAATCCGCCTTCTACTAAGCGCCTGGAAATGGTGCAGCTGAATACACGGTTCCGTAATGCAGGTGCCACCGCTGCATGAATGGTAGACGATGAAGCTGTAGGCGCTGTTCATGCTTGATGTACAATGAGACGATCCTCCCTTCTGGTGGTCTGTCGATAGCGTCCGGAACCCATTTGCCATTCGTGTGTACCCCTACTTACCCACTGCTCATAACACATCCTAACAGTTCTATCAGAACGGTTTAGATGGCGGCCAATCTGGCGGTATGACCATCCTCCTCCTCTCAATCCAACAATGCAACCTCTCTCAAACTCACTTAACTGAGTGTAAGGCTGTCGAATGCGTCGTAGAGGCATGTCTGTCACTCAATGAAGTCAAAACCATGAATAAAAGCGCAGAACATATGCACAAGTCGTCACAGCATGCACCTTTATACCAGGCAGCGGAAACATTTTTTCTTCTCTGGTGATGATATAACACAAGAACCTACTCTCAAAAGCTAATCATTTACATATCTAGCTAAGATGATGCAACATATCAATTTTTATTCAAATCCAACAAGTCCTTCATGATGCGTTATTTTTTTTGTCGTCCAGTGTATTAATATAATTTAATGAAAGTAATTCAAACCATACCTCAGCTGCATCCTTCATTGGCTTTGCAGCAAGTTGAAATTCTGGTCCTATTTCCACAGTTTCGTCAAATGATTTAGTACCTATTAAACCTATTACAGTAAATAAATGAAATATTCAATTAAAGTACATCAAAACAAAGTATAAAATTCATATAAAAAAATAAATACTTTATTTATAAGGAAATATTTATACTATGTAACTATGATTAGTTTGATATAAAAATACTTGAACTTTATTTAATATTGAGATACAAAGTTGAAAAAAAAAAAATAGTATTCAAAATTTTCTTTGAAGAAATTTGTCAATGTTATATCTTAAAAGGATATTTATTCCATTGTGTTTATCGACAATGACATTTTTATATTATATAAAGTAATATATTTAATGTTGATATCTATAAGATCTAAAAATATAACTAAACATTTAAGAAATTCCTTTCACAGAACACTCACAAGAAATGTTCTGTTCAAATCAGGGCTGTGGAGTCGGAGTCATCAAAAATCCGCTGACTCTGACTCCAACTGCTTTTTACTTTCCCAACTTGTTATGTATATAAAATGGAAAAGTATTGGAATCATGTCAAATTTGATCCTCCAAGTTTTTTGCAAATCTACACATTTGGAGACTCCTGAACCCAAAAAATGTCAAATAAAGGGGGAAAATTCGTGTGTGTGTATGTTTTGGCATCTAATTTGTTTAATTTCTTTATTCTCTGTTCTGAGATATTGAACATCTCAAAATGGGTATAAAGTTTAAGAAACTAAATTTGACACGATAGCTTGTGTATAAAAGGGTATTAATGCTATTAAATTTTGGTTCTTAATTAAAGGTTGACAAGGTGGAGACACAAGTGGTCATGTGTCATATCTTCAGTGTGGTTAGATTTAATGAATATTTTACTCAGTATTAGCATTCACAATTTTTTTTTTATAAAACTTGTCTGTACCCTCAAAATTAAGTTTGAGTTCTAATATGAGCACAGACAGAAAAAAAATCTTACAAAATTTAATGATGATTTTTACAATGTACTGGAAAAAGTAAATTGACCATTCTTCAAATTTGGATGTTAAAATGGCACTACTGCACTATCCAGATATTATCCATCAACCCAAGTTTCAGTAGAGCATTTATTTTCCACTCTTAAAATTATTAAATCTGATTTAAGAGCTTTCACGAATACTGACTTAATAGAAGTAATTCAGTTTATAACTGAGATGGAAAATAAGCAACCTTTTTCTTTACCAGTCTAAATGTTATATTTCTTATTCTTGACTTAGTTTAATTATATACAGCATCTTTTTTAAACTAATTTGTTTGTGGCCTGTATTTGCTGTTTTTATTTATACATGCGTACCAAATACCATTGCCATCATCAAACAAGTCAATAAATATGAATTTATAAAGTAGACATGACAAATTTTAATGTTTAATTGATTTTTTAAAAATCATTTTATTTTGTATTTTCAAAAAAAGCAATCAGAATAGTCATCATTATTACTTTCCCAGCTGTTATACAGTATAGCCCTGTAACAAAGGAAAAGAGTGGCAGCCAGTCAAAAAATGGCTTCCCCAGATTTTTATTCTTTTGAAGCCTTGAAGCATAGAAAAGTGAAAAAACATTTTGGGTTTATTCTGTATGCACAGATGTTAGAATGTGTGTGCAGAGGCCAAACCTTGATAAGCTGGACTTTCTGAAAGTCACTAATATCTATAAAGAGATTTGATTATTTATTTAGTATTTAGTTTTTACTTTTAAATGCCCTGTTGTTTTGTTTACTTGTAATGTTTTATATGTTTGTTGTTGTTTTTTTGTTGTTAATTTATATTATATATTTATTATTAAAAATTTTCATTTGACATGGCACAGCTTATCCTATATGGCTCTTGTGCCAAAAAACCCAAATTAACCAACCAACCAACCTCGAATATGTGTGGGACATAATTTAGTTCAACCACTTTGAATCTTAATAACTCCTGTGTTAAACCATCTGACTCCGATTGAGAAACCACAGAAGTTATTAAGCTTCAAATAGGGTGAACTAAATCATGCCCCCCCTCACACAGTCTAACATCCATACATACAGGGGAAAAAAATCTTTTGCATGTCTTGCCATTTCAACGTGTCCTGAGTCCAAAAATGTAAAAATTTCGAGGGTCATTTTTTGGCTGATTGTTACACTTTCCCTCTGTTATAACAGCTAAGAAAGTAAAAATTATCAAATACATATTTATATATTGACTATGTCATTACTTGGAGGAGTCTTTTAGCTTTGGAATAAAAAGTTTCTATGTTCTATCTCTATATATTGAAACTTTTATTCTGTCACGTGATGACATCAAAATTTCTGGGCCTAGTTTGGTAACAAATCTGCTCCTGGCCAGAGTCAGACAGTAAGAAAAAGTCGGAGTTGGTAGATTTTTACATGACTCCACAGCCCTGATTTAAATATTAAAAACATGCAATTTTAATGACAAGAGTAAGACTTTAATAAAAATAATCATAAAATATCTAGAAAAATATTTTTGTCATTTGTTTGGTTTAAAACTGGTGGAGCGAAATGAGTAAACAAAAAAACTTTTTATGAACATTTTTTCTTATTTTATAGTCAATTTTCACTCAGATATGGATCATCATTAAAACTGTGTTTTTAGTAATTTATACAATGTTCAGGAGGGTCTTTTTTAGTTAAAAGTCCATAGGATCACCATCAAAAGCTTCACAACAATAATATTTTAAATTAAAATTGAAATATTTTAGATCTGCATTACTAAAGAAACTATAATGAGTATTTATAAGTTATTATTATTTGCTTTGTATCTAATAGAATCCATTACAGTGTTTTGTTAATTGGCTATTCTATCCAATTTTTTTAACTAGATTTGTCCCAACAGTTAAACACAGACCACTTTTACTCCTTATAATATCCTTTATTAAAATTGAAATGCATTTCAGACTTTTTTAGTCCCTCTATCCCTCTTCAGTTGATTTTACAATCATTAGATAAATAAATAATGAACTTACTGGATAATGTATAACTAAAAACACGACACCTTATTAATCCAGCAATATTTAATAAGATAATAATAATGTTTTCGACTGTTTTAAACAGCCTTCATCAGTTAAACTATTTCAAACTAAAAGAATGCTAAAAATAGAATACAAGCTTTTAAAACCTCAAATTCCAACGTAAAACGCAGTCGTATAATAAAACGTACAAAAATTGCGCATACGATTCTTATCAGAATAAAAATACACATAATCAATTTTTTTTTTTTTGGCCGAAATAATGCCTATTATAAGATTACCATTATGCGCTACGGTAAAATGATTTCCATGCGGTGGATAAACAATCCGCATCCCTGTGGTTAATACAGCCCGTGTTAATGTGGACTTTGTATATTTCCAACTTCTCAAGATACTTCAGCGCCTGCTTGTTGTTCGTGGCCCTGATGATAGAGGCCTTGTCCCAATGCACGTCGACTTCCTGTTGTTTAGCGAAAGCCGCGAATACAGTGCTATCCAAGTTCTTAGTGATGGAGTATTTATGTTCTTTAATTCTCTGCATTAAATGTCGCAAAGTTGCACCAACGTATAAAAGATCTGAGTTAAATCGGCGATCCTTTAAAGGTATAGCATACACACCCGTTCTAGTATTCTGGTTTTCTTTTTTCTTGTCGTTTCTTAATAATCTATATATCTTAGGATTACACCGATATAGCATTCTTATGTTATTGTTGTTGGTCACTTTCTTCATCAATGTGTGCAAGAAAGGAAATTAATTAAGGACACTTTTCTTCTTTCATTCCTAGTCAGAAGTTGTCGTTTTGTTTGTTTCTGAAACTTATTAATAAGCCCTTCAATTTCTCTTGTTCGATAACCATGCTGCAAAGCTGTTGTACGAATGTTATTTAATTCTTTATATATATCATAAACACTGGTACAATGTGTGTATCCACGCTTGATCCATGCACGAAATGCCGCATGTTTAAAATTCCTAGGATCGAAAGAATTTTTTGGAATAATAATAGGCTGATAACTCGGTTTTTTATAAATGTCTGTCCATATTTCACCCTCTTTGCATGTGATTGAAAGATCAAGAAAATTTACATTATAAGCACTTTCTTGGTCCAATGATAATGTCAGACCATACGGGTTTTCGTTGATCTTATTAAGAAATTCCCGACTGCAACCATCATTCCTCCATAGTATGAAAACATCATCTACATATCTTGCGTACAAAATGATATCATTTTGAAATAAGGAAAGAACTTTGTTTTCCAAACGACGCAAAACCAATTCACATAAAATAGCGGACATAGGGCTGCCCATTGGGACCCCTCTTCCTTGCAAATATGTCACTCCCTCAAAGACAAAAAACGATGTGTAACATATCAAATTTGCTAGCTCCAAAATGTGTGCATGGTATCTCGCCGGATTTTCTATATTAGCAAAAAGAAAGTCTCTTAGCTCGCAAAAACATGGCGGTAATCTTATGGATGGAAACAAGGATTTAAAATCCATTACAGTCATACATTCATTATCTTTGAGGGTAATGCTCCTGAGCTTCTCCACAAGCTGTACTGCGTTTTTTATAGCAAAGGGGTATTCCTGTATTTTCGGTTTTATAAAATTGACCAGTTGCTTCTCAGTGGCAAAGGTAGGAGATCCACATTTCTCAATAACAGGGCGTAATTGGCAATCAGGCTTATGGGTTTTGCCAAAAGCGAAAATTCTTGGTGTTTTTGGAGCCTGCAAAACTGAGTTATGCATACGCAAAAAATGAGCCAATGGGGTTAAAGTGAATCTCTTGACCCTTTGTTGTAGCGATTCTAAAAACTTGTCGGGAGCATGTTGACATTCAGTGATTCATGTTGACATTCATTAAAATGATTTCCATGCGGTGGATTGTTTATCCACCGCATGGAAATCATTTTACCATAGCGTATAATGGTAATCTTATAATAGGCATTATTGTGGCAAAAAAAAATTTGATTATGTGTATTTTTATTTTATTTTTATTCCGATAAGAATCGTATGCGCAATTTTTGTACGTTTTATTATACGACTGTGTTTTACGTTGGAATTTGAGTTTTTAAAAGCTTGTATTCTATTTTTAGCATTCTTTTAGTTTGAAATAGTTTAACTGATGAAGGCTGTTTAAAACAGTCGAAAACGTTATTATTATCTTATTAAACATTGCTGGATTAATAAGGTGTTATGTTTTTTAGTTTTACAATCATTATTCTGACATTTGGTAACCTTACAATAAAATTTAAAAATTTGTAAAATATTGTATATTTATATAACTTACATATTACTAAACATTTAAAAAAAATATCATTTAACTAACAAACTCATATGTTTAAGTTTGTCTTCTAAATGTTTTAAAAGTGCTATGAGACTACTATGAATGTAAACTGGTCTTTATTGATATTTTATTAAAATGTTTAATAATTGTCTTTAAAGTTATATAAATATACAATATTTTATAAGTTTTTAAATTTTATTATAAGGTTGCCAAATGTCAGAATAACAATTGTAAAATCAACTGAAGACAAACTAAAGAGTTTGAAATGCGTTTCAATTTCAATAAAGGATATTATAAGGAGTAAAAGTGGTCATCTATGTCTAACTGTTGTGACAAATCTAGTTTAAAAAATTGGATAGAATAGCCAATTACAAAAAACAATAATGATTATATGAGGGCTATTTTTTTTTTTTTGAGGCTTCAATGGTACATAAAACAAAGACAAGTGTAGATAACTAAATGAATTTATTACCAAAAGTTAGGTACATGGTTACTTTTCAACATAATCACCGTGAAGATTGAGGAATTTGTCATATCTGTGGACAAGCTTTTCCATCCCCTTGTCATAGAATGTTGCCGCCAGTGAATTGAGATGGCCTTAACAATGTTTTGAAGATCGTCATTAGTTCATTAGTCTCAAACCTCTGCCCTGCAAGCCATATTTTCAGTTCAGGAAAGGAGTGGAAGTCTTCACATTAAAAAGTTTTAAGCTGGGCGAAAGTCTTCACCACCTTTAAACACCTAGCGTATAGCCCCAATTTAGCGCTGAGTGAATTCCACCTCTTTCCTGAACAGGGAAAGTGGTTAGAAAGGTAGAGGTTCGAGACTAATGATGATCTTCAAAACAGCATTAGGGCCCATCTCAAGTTATTGGCGGTAACATTTTATGAGAATGGGATGGACAAGCTCATCCACAGATATGATAAATGCCTTAATCTTCACGGTGATTATGTCAAAAAGTAACCATGTTTGTACCTAACTTTTGGTAATAAATTTATTTTGTTATTTATACTTGTATTTGTTTTATGGACCATTGGAGCTTGAAAAAAAAAAACAGCCAAGGTATTTATGTAAATACCTTGGCTGTTTTACATAAAGATCATTATCTACTAATTCATAATAGAATTAATTACCATGTTTAGCTCTGTATGCAGAACCAAGACATGCAGAGTTGCTGATTTCTTGTACATATACTGGAGTATTAAAGACATCAGCTAATACCTTTGGGAAAAAACTGTTTCAAAATTAACTTTATTTGAATATACATATGAGATGTATAGTTTCTTAAATGGCTTTAAAAAATTAGCTAAACATTTGATCAAATACATTTTTTTTGTTCTTTTCAATTATAATTGTTATAAATTTCTAAACCAGTCACAAAACAGAAAGAAAAGATAAAAATGAAGATGAAAATTGGAGGTTAGTGTCAGCTACATTCACAGCCATTATGTTTCAGACCCACAAAAAGTGGAGTAGGCCAGTTTGGAAATCATACACCTCATATATATAAATTAATATGCAAAAAATTATCAATATATTACATCTGCAAATGTAAAAAAATAAATTTTCTAAATGAAAAACAAGAGTCAAAACTTACTTGTATAATTGATTTATTTGCAGAAGCACCACCTGTGACTAATACTCTTGAAGATTTTCCTTAAAATTAATATATTTATTCTATTAATCTTTATTTCTTTATTTAAAGTTAATAAAGATAAATAATTATTATTATTATTTAGCAAGTTGTATTCTACTTAATTAATACCAATGCCTGGATGAAGATCAAGGCATAGCTATTGAGAAAGTTATTTTATTTATATGTTGTTAGTACTGTATTTTCGTGGAATGATTGGCATGCTGGTCTATCCGGGGGGACCAGGAAATCAGATATTTTCATATGATAAAAACCAGCATACCGGTTTAAGTGAGATTATATATATCTCTTTAGATGGCTCATTGAAAAAACAAGAGAGTTATGTCAGGTAAAAACAAACAAGTTTTTATTTTAAAACTGCAAAACTGTCAGCATTACATCAAAAACTACGATTACATGTTTAATTTCTTCATTTTGTCTTCTTTCTAACAATGTAAAATACTCATGGAATTCCAAAAGTGCTTTTTTTATGCTGGTTTTTATGGTTTCCTTCCATAATATGATTGATATATGTTTATAAAGTTTCTATAGTGTTTCTAAAGTTTTGTGTAGTGTATATAGTATAATGCCTGTATAATAAATGATTAATCATGCTATGTATATCTATTCTCCACAGATGCTTTATTTCATGGGCAAGTTTTGACAATTTTAGTGTATGTGTTTTGTATGTTGAATGTGTTCAGAATAGATATTGTGAGAATCCAGGGGCTGTTTTTCTATAATTTTTAATGAAAAGATACATTTAGAAACTTTCCCTTTTACAGTCCATTTCCCACAGAGTTAGGAACAGGAGAATAGCAAATATTGACTTAACTGTCAACAAGTCCTTTCCTCCCTCACATTGACCCACGAAATTATTGCAAATATGTTATAGTGATCGATTGTCAAATGTGAGAAAGTTGATATTTAATTTAGTCTAAGGAGGAAATCTAAAAACAATTGAAGGAAATACTAAACCTTCGAATTGACTTTGTTTAGTTTTAATCGGACAGCTATGACACCTTTGACATGTCATTGCTATCAAACAAATGATTACCTGATTAGATTCCCACACTTAATGTGGATATAATGTGACTGCACCCAATCTTTGGGTGATCAGTCCCAAAGGAATAAATTTTGCCTTGTGAAGTATGTAAGTGACTTCCAGCACATATTCTCCCAGTTCTCCAGATCTTTGCTCCCTACCGATCGCCCATCCAATGGACCATATCACCAACGTCCAATACAACCGGATTGGGAACCAATGGCCCGCTGTACAAGGTAAAGTATGTTCAATTACGCTTGTAAACTCACTCTCAATTAGAAGTAGATAGGACGAGGGAATTATATCCCTAGCACCTTGCGAGAGCCATATATACACTTAACAAGTAGCTGAATGTTTAGTAGTAGCTGTATATTGTAATCTGGGTTTTAGATATATATTAAATTTGTTTTGTTAAACATGGTGTTGACTCAATTATTAAGAACTTGGACCCCTAACCAATCTTTATATCTTTACCAAAGAGAAGGTCACGAGAAAAAATTTGACTTTCATTTCAAGTGCCATAATTTCTACTTGGTGTAATATTGTTTTTACATCTCAGATGTTTACTTTGGATATAAATTGTTTTTCTTTTTTTTTTTTTATTAATTTGACTAATTAATTTTTTCACTGCCCTTCTATTGGTTTTGAGTTATTTATGATTATTACAGTGGTCTCGACTGCACCAGAAAATCGATTGGCGCCCGCGAAAATTCAAAAATACAAAAATGAAGTATATTACCAAGTAACCCAGTGAGAACTGCTTGCCTATCATTTTAGTTGAAAATACAAGAAGTTTTATTCCAAGCAAGCATCGCAAGCCCGCTAGGTTAATTTCTGCTGCTTGCTTGGAATAAAATTTCTTGTATTTTATATTAAAATGATAGGCAAGCAATTCTGTTAAAAGCACTGGCACTGAACGTTTCGCTTCATGCAGTCTATTTTGCAACTT